GTTCCACGGCCTCTGCTGGACCCCGGGCTTGGCCCGTTGTCCGGGAGGACCTCCCTGGCAAGCACTGGCAGAGCTGCCACTTGACCTCCTGTAAAGTGTGACCCGTGCAATCCGAACAGTAGCCTGCTGCTCATTGGCTTGAACACGGCTGGAGGCCCCAGACAACATCCGTAGCCACCTTTGGCTCAAGAACGTCTCGGCTCAAAGCTCTCAGTGACAAACTGGTGAGTCAGGAGCTTTTTGTTCGTGCTCATACTTGCTCTTGTGGTGTCCTTGGACATTGCTCGAGTCTCTGAATTCCATTCACCCCTTTGGCCTTCAAGTGGTGTCCTTAGACATTGCTTAATCTCAAGTTTTGCTGGTCACCTCACGCAAGCTTCCTCAAGTGGTGTCCTTAGACACTGTTTGAGGTTTCGACTGTCAATGTCACTGTTCTACCCGAGCTTACTCGAGTGGTGTCCTTAGACATTGCTCTGAGTTTCGTTTGTCTTGCCGATCATAAAAGGGGGTGTCCTTAGACATTACCTTTTGTTCTGGTCTTCTTCCCTGCCTTGTGTCCTTTCTTCGTCATGTCGTCTAAAGAAGTTTTTTGTACTATTTCCCAGTTTATCTATAATGATATACTGGAGTCTTTTGAGGCAAAGGGAATTTTTGCGCAGCTTCATGGATCTTCCTTGGCTGTCTCACCTCGCATATTTTTCTTTGTCGATTTCCTAGCATGGTCAACACAGAGCGTTTCAGCAGCAATCTTTTCGTGGTTGGTGAAGATGAGTTTAAGAGCATCTATGCTGCTGTTTCTGGCAAGCACCCGGTTGATATTATCATTTATGGAATTCAGAGCCGGTTACAAGATAACCTTTTACAGCTCTATCACCCAGAAAGTCAACTTCGACATGTCTTTCTCTTCCATGAGTGTTCTTTCAATGCCACGAGTATTGATTTAACCATTGGAGTTTGCACATCTTTGAGACGGTACCGTGCCCATATCCAACGAATTAGCAAATACAAAAGCTTTGAATTTGCGCAAACAGGGCGTTCACGTACTTTCACCAAGGCTACGTACTTCATTGCACTTAGTGCAGCTCGCAATGTGAACTGCTTTGAAGTCTTTTCGCCATGTTTAGAGTACACAGAAACATGGCTCTGTCCCAGCAAGTTCCTTACGACGCAACTTCAGGCTGCTATCACTGCAGTGCCAGGAGTATTTCGATTTCGAGTCTACTCACAAGATCCTCCCCTGCATACTGAACTTAGTGCAACTGATAGATGTTGTGTCACTTTTGGTATTGCTGAGTCGGATGTTCACAAAGCAGCAGATCCCCTTGCGTCAATCTACTCCTGCTTAAGCCAGGAGGTCACTTCTCTCGCTCAACAAGATCTCCAAAGGGTGATTCCTTTCTTTTGGAATATGCGATTTCGAGAAGTTCCCTCTTTCTATGATTATGATACTGTCACTTTCCTTGACATCAGATCCTGCACCCAGGAAGAAAGATGGCCGCTGCAAGCCATTCTCATTGACATGGAAATTCCATATCATATTCAAAAAAGATTGCTCCTTGTTATCTATACGGAAGGAATCCAACTTGAAAACTTCAGATTGAGGATTTTCCAAGAGCAGATTAAGATTCCTTTTGGCAAAGAAGAAGGTAGTCTTCAATGTTCCTTTGCTGCAGGAGCTAACAAAGCTCTTTGGACTGTTGACACTCACACCACAGGAAGTGATCGCCATGAAGCTTACCAAATTGAAGACGATGGTACACTCATGATGCAAGATGGATTAGTTGACACTGACCTCTGTGATGCGTTACAGAAGGTATGAGGAGCAACACAAATCCGGTCTGCCATAGTGCACGTGCAGGACAAAGGCCATCAAAAAGTTGTTGCCTTTATTGCATCACCCAATCTCCTACCGAGGATACCTGGCATTTTTGTCGACCATAAGGATCAACAAAGAATTGTCCACTATAAACAGCCTGATGTCCATACTACTGAAAGAGCATCTAACATCTACGTAAAAGAAACCAAAACAGACCATCATGTTGGAGCACATAATAAAGGCCTACGCCAAGGGGCCCGACTTAGTGGTTTTTTCCCTCTACCAGGCAATAGTATGTCACGTAGGAGATTTGGCCAATTGCAGGTCTTTAGCTTCGAAATTGGCAACAGGGATGTTCCAGTTGACATTCTTGACGAACTCGTCCCTATCTGTCTTATTGAAGCTGAGCTTTCTACGCAAGAAGCTTCTAACCTTTTTGACATTTTAATGAGGCAGAAACACCTTCTTGATCATCATACGATTTTTCTCGAACGTACGGCGTCCAAACCTTTTCCCTGTCAGCACGATAACGATGTTATTACTATATTGCCTGAACATGAGTGCATCGTTCACTGCCAGATTGAGCGAGGCCAGAAATTACATGTCCTGCAACCTCGCTTTGAAAGAGGCAAAGTCTCGAAATGTGTCAGCAATGCACTGGAACTCAGTGTCTACGTTCGTTCCAACCTCCTTCTTTTCTTGCCAGGACAAATTGAGATCCATGATATCTTTGAGAGTGCACCATTTGGTCGCATCCTGTCGGTTTGGCACAATGATCAGCGATCGTCCAAGAGTCATGCCGCTATGCCTACTGCGGCCAAAACCAGGACAAAAGTTGCAAGCATTCCTACTAAAGTTGACCAAAGTGCCAAAAGAGACATTCATTCCTCTGTTGAGGTCCGTGATAACAAACAATCTCCTGCACGTTCTGTTCCATCGTCGTCCGACCATAACCAAGATGCTGTCAGTCCGTTACCAACCAAGATTGATGCAACAGGTGTCCCTTCCTCAGGAGTGTCCTGTGCTTGTGGTTGCTGGTACATGGCAAGAAATGCCCTTAACAGAAGAACCGAGTGAAACAGCAAGTGCAAGATATTGCGTCTAGAATCTCATCCAACCATACACCATTACACCATATATTTTTTTCAGCATGGCTAGGTGAACGGTCGCCGCGCCCCCTGCTCATAAAATCGAGAAGCCACCAGGTTGTTCGCGAGTCCAGGGTGTACACACACACACTTATGGATATGCGTACTGACTTGACAGCGGTGCCACACGCCGGCCTAGGGTTCCATTTCCTAAGGGTACAGGTAAGGAAACCTAAAAAGGAAGAAGAGGTCCATCAAGTTCAGCGTGGCCATCAACTCTAAAGGAACCATCGAACGATCGACCGACAGAATGACGTCGTCGGCTCACATCTGCCAAGAGCAAACCGATGCAAAGGCTGGATTTCTTGTTCTAGTTAGAAGCAGGGCCCAGGATGAAGTGTCTCCAGTAAAGCTGCAGGTAAGTCACTGGACGTCTCCAGTGATATCAGTACCGCCACAGAAGCCTCTTCATTGGACTGTCACTTCTGTGGGGTAGACAGTCCCCCTGCTGAAAAGCGAAAAAGTTAGCGCAACCCGACTGGATCCCTGTGACTACAAGGGAAACCAAGTGCACAGGGACAACCGATGAAACTCACCTCATTGTCGAGACCTGGGCGACCTAACACCTGAGTTGGAAGTAGATGTGCGCGTACACACTAAAGCCCGGACCGTTGTACGCGCAAAAGAACGAAAGGAGTGAGATGAAAGGACATGAAGCAAGGGAAGACATGAAAAGAAAGAGGAAAAGAAGTGTGTGAAGGGGAAAGGGTGAAAGGGGAACCAAATCAAAGGGACGGGAACCGATGAAACCAGACCTCATTACAACGACCTAGGAAGACCTGCCTCGTTGAAGTGTGTACGATGTATGTGCGCCTAAGTGTCCGACAGGTTCCAATGAACCTTGAACAAACTTCGGCCGCTGCGGCCACGTACGCCGTGCCAAAATGGCTGGCTGCTTTGACCGCTGCGGTCACGTAAAGGCATAAGCCAGCTTGGAATTCCAAAGATGAGACAAAAATCTGAATTCTCTCGGCCTAGGCCACCTTCGCCCGCTCTGGGCACTTACATCTCCGGGCATGGGAGATAACGACAAACACCCGTTCGACGGGTCCACGGGAGGCACTCTACGGGCTCATCCCGGACTCTCACTGGAAGAGACACACTTATGGATATGCGTACTGACTTGACAGCGGTGCCACACGCCGGCCTAGGGTTCCATTTCCTAAGGGTACAGGTAATGAAACCTAAAAAGGAAGAAGAGGTCCATCAAGTTCAGCGTGGCCATCAACTCTAAAGGAACCATCGAACGATCGACCGACAGAATGACGTCGTCCGCTCACATCTGCCGAGGGCAAACCGATGCAAAGGCTGGATTTCTTGTTCTAGTTAGAAGCAGGGCCCAGGATGAAGTGTCTCCAGTAAAACTGCAGGTACGTCACTGGACGTCTCCAGTGCTATCAGTACCGCCACAGAAGCCTCTTCATTGGACTGTCACTTCTGTGGGGTAGACAGTCCCCCTGCTGAAAAACGAAGAATTAGCACAATCCGACTGGATCCCTGTGACTACAAGGGGCACACACACACACATTCGACTTTCAAGTAATGCAGATCAACTTTGTGCACGGTTGCCAGGCTCTTCCCCTTGCACATATGGAAGAACAACATAAAGTCAGATGATGGCATGCAGTTCGTCTCTCCTGATAGAGCCGGTTTTTCTATATAGATGTCTCATTTAGCTAGGCTCTGGATTTCCGACTTGTGCGATCATTTTGGGTTGAGCACATTCAGCTACGTGGACACTTTTTTTTTGCACTTGTGAGACTAGATCAACAGTTTAAGGTTTCGGACACACAACAGTAGGAGGGTGCACGTTAAGCCTAGGAGACTTGCATCACACCAACGCCAGCATAAAGCAATGAAACAACGAAATCGATCCATTCTCTGGCATTCTTCATTTTGGATGTCTTTGTTGGTCTGTCAAGCATTGTCACGTTACGACTTTGAATGCCAGACTCCAAGGCAATCGAACGACTTCGGAGGTTGAAGGAGTGCAACCATGCTAACGTTGCTCATTGCGCCCAGTACATGGTCACGCTAGCATTTTGCAACTCAAGGGCAACAGTTTTCAAGGCCATGCTTGCCATTTCGCTCTGCCTTTTGCCTTTGGCTCTGGCCATATGCCAGGACTGTGACACCGAAGCTCAACCAAGACTCCAAATCATCGTTTTTGTGGGAAAAATATCCTGCCCTCCAAAATCGAAGCGTTGTAGATTTGTAGACCTGAAAGACACATGGTCAAGATCTACTGTCCGTTTTCGTCCCGATATTTCGGTCATCGAGTCATCGCCCTTTCCACCATTCAGTTGAGAATGTCCATGATGAGCACAATCTAAGCTAGTCTTTTTTAGCTGTGGAGGTTCTAAAAACATTTGCTGCGGCTTTGTGTTATGATTTGACCCAAATGAGGGGAACCAAATTTAGCCAAGGAAGTTGTGAATCTCCTGACTTGGCATCGCGGTCATCGTGCTTCCCGGCACCATCGCGGGGGCCATTATGATGGCCGCAAACACTTTAGGCGGCAGGGTGGGGACCGCGGTCGTAAACACACCAAGCGGCGCAGAAGAGGTGGCGGCGGCGGCGGCAACAACGATGACACACCGAGTGTCGACACTAGCGAGACTTGATGTATGTTTGGAAACCCTGATTGCTTGCCATGAAGACAGAAGACACGAAGGTACAAAGTTCGGTATCAATATCAGTAAATCGATGTAATTGTATAAATAGCCGCGACAGTTGTGACCTCAGGATTCGGGCTACGTGCCATGTACCTACAACAAGACCTATGGCTATCCTGATGGTGTTGTTCAAGTTGCTCTGGACTCCACCGGGACTCCTTTGACGGAGTTGGACTCGAGATGCAGCTCAGTTGATTGATTGTTCTTGAGGTGCTCGCAGGCATTTAGCTAGCATATTTGCAGGTTCCGGCAACTAGACCCCGTCATGTTAAAGAGACCCTTGACCAATACACCATGCTTAGGTGACATGCTGGAAAATTCACTTGGCCAACCACAACCAATGATGACCACAGACCTGGGATGATCACAAAGGCGTAATGGGAGGAAACCGTCTGGAAATCTGATCGGTCCTTTTCGAGGAGGCCATTCTGAAATTGAGTTGTTGGTCCACTCCCCTGATTCTTGGAATGCAGTTTAGGCCGATTTGGGATCGTTGGCCAAGTAAGGCAGTTCTAATGCTGTCTCCTATGTGGATGACAGCGAGGAGGCAAGCTGCGTCTTGGCTTACCACTATGTGGATGACCCTCACCATCCATGCCTTGAACCTCCAGATTGCAAACACCTATGTTCCAGACTTGCTAAACAGACAGTTTTCATACTTGTAAGCAGAAGGGTTTTCAACTTAGGCCCTGGATCCTCCACATGGTTGGTTTACCATGAGCATTTTTCTTTAACCGCTTGGGATGTCTTTGTGAGGTTGTTGTGGGGGTGCCTTTTGTTCTGTTTCGGTGGCATGGTGGCACCCAAAGAAGTTTAAGCGTTTGAGCACCATCTTTGGGGGGCAACTCAGCTGGGTATTGCAAGTTCAAGGCAGCCAGCTAAGGCATTCTGAACAGCCCTGGAGATTACTATGACTATGGCAACTGGGATGCTGAATCGGCCTGCCCCTACCCCGCTGGTGCCACGGAGTATCCGACCGTCACGACACGAGCGCCGCTTGTCTTCACATATGCCATACCAAAATTGTGAGGGGCGTCAGTTGGCTGGAAAGCCTTAGCCATCAGGGGATCTCGAGTGGTAGGAAGAAGCTCCTTTTGAGGTCGTGTCTCCCAAAAGTCTGCCCATAGTGAACTAATTTGGAACTTTTGGAATGGTTTTCTTTGTTGAAGATACTGTATATGTTTCCACAGGCACAATTTCCTACCTATATAGTAAGGATTAAGCAAATAGTTGGTATGAAATCGTTTTATCAAGCGCAGCCGAACTCAGTCCAGCAAAGGCCTACGCGTCAACAGTTTCGCCTAGTGGATTGGATGATAGTAGTGCAGCGAAAGGAGGAAACACATTGTTACGAAAGCCGGACGAGAGGCTAGGCTTAAGTGCTAGATGGGTGAACAAACTGAGTGAGTATTCCGGGGGTTATACAGGGGGACAGCCAGTGACCCAAACCTGCCGGGGGAGAGCGAGCAAAGGGGGTGTCCAAAATGCACCTCAACAAGGGCCTTGGTGATGCGAGTGATGCCGAAGAGGTTCGAGAGATCCTCTTCAAGTGTGGCTTTGCAGCAGACTTGTCAGACAAGTCCATGGTGCAACTGGGCAAACAAGCCAGCACCAACAGTTTTCCAAATTTTTTGGATTCAGAAACATAGAGGGTGACCCCACCTGATCCAGTGGAAGTGGAAGGCCCACATATCTCCTGGATGTCCTTCTTGCGTGGCTTTTCTTACACCAAGCGTTTGCGACCCGAAAAGACCGCGTGATGTGCGCGACGTGCGCGCGGGCGAAAGAGGATAAGGAGTGGCCATGATACCACTCAAGTGGACAGCATCATGTCCAGTAAGGCCAACTGGAGGTACTGTAGCACCAAGTTCTCCCACAAAAGACCTTAAGCATGAAGCATGAGTCTTTCTGCCCGGCCCTTTGCGCCTTGTTTCAAGGCTGTCTCGGGGCAGAAAAGGTCACCTCTGAAAAGCGGGCTCTAGCAATAAGACCCGTGACAAAGCAGGACATGGCAGAGGCATCTTCCAGCACATACATTGATTGAATCTTGCGCTTGAGCTGAGTTTTGGCAGGCTTTGCGGGGGCAAACACGGCCAACGGAGCTGGTTGCTGCTTGAGACGAGCTGTCGATGCCAGTGTGGAAAGACTGTGGATCTAGATGCAACGAGCCAAAGTTGCTTGGTTGCTGCCACTTTGCGCTTTGTTTGAGAGCCGTCTCGGGCAACGAAGGACACGAAGAGCGGGTTCTGGTGATAAGGCCCGTAACAAAGCAGGACGTGGCAGAACGTTTTGATTGAGTCTTGCGAGCGCAGTGTGTTCCACCAATCAGAGAGCCGAAGCGACACCCTTAAGGCCCTTAAGCCGCATTTCTGGGTTGGTGCCTCTCTGCGCTTTGCACCTTTAGACATGCGGGTTCTACCCAGAACAGACCTTAAGGAACAGTTTTGTTGCTGCCCTTTTGGGCTTTGTTTGGCTGCAGGTGGAAGACTGCGCCGCCAAAAAGCGGGAAAGGGACATTGGACAAAGCAGGACGCGGCAGATGCATCTTCGAGCATTTGACATGAATCTTGCGAATGAAGAGGGTCTTATCAGACGGTCTTCGCGAGAGTGTTGGACACTTTGACATCGCTTCTTGGAGCTTCTTGACTGCAGCACGTTGTTCTGAATGTCTACGAAGGCTGGCTTCGTCATCTCACTTCTCAGGTACACACAGCAAATGTCGGGAATAGATGAATGGTAGGCAAATGCAGAATACTGGATACATGCTAGAGCGTGACAGTGCAGGAGTAGTATTTTTTACGTAGCAGAGATGAAAACGCATGCTCTTAGTAGAAAAGATGTCTCATCCTAAGCCGTATTGGGTTGGCCACCCATGAAGATCTGCACAAACACAACCATGTCAATCTCTTTATTCGAGTCAATTGCCGCACTGTCGTATTGCTCATCAACTAAGCTATATCACTCTGCCAAAAACACATACATATCTCAGGCAGTGCGAGGCTTATTACAACAACTTTGTGGCCCTAGGGGACAGCATCACGATCAATGGCACTTACTACAAGTTGGGCATTGGTCATGGCCCACTGAAAGGTGTTCGCGGCAATTGCTATTTCATGGAGTATGAGGGCAGGTACGCACTGATCTTCCAGGTCTGGACTTGGGCAACCTAGGTGTATTGTTCCTGTTTTTGCGTTATGCAGCCGGGGTTGGTCTGTACTGGAGCTTCTCCATACTTCGTTCGGTATTTCCTGCAATTCCTGTTTTTTTGTTTTTTTGATCTTTTCGAACAAAGGCAGACAAGATGCCTTTCGACACGTTTCGGCTTTCAGGTGGATATTCGATCTTGGTCTTTTGAGTTCACCTATGACACCTTGCAGTACATATACAACAACCAGGGTGACCCTGGAGGAACCTGCCTCATTCCCAATGTGCAGATCATCGATTGTGAAGCTTGGACTGTCTTGGAAAGGACCAGCCAGAATCTCCAGAGATGCAAAAAGTTCCGCCCTGTCCACCTAGAAGACCTATCCTAAAGGTGGGAAATTTGGCATATCTGGAGGTTCAAGACATCCCGAGCTGCTTTTGAGAATACATAGAAAGCGGTTGCACCGGGAAAGGTGGCGGAAACCAAACTACGATGGTCTGAGCAAAGTTCCATAGTCGATTGTTTAAGACTCAGTCCAGACCACCCGATGTGTGATTCTTTTTACTGTAGCCTGTGGCCCTGCCTCCTTACTTGATTAGGCGCCTACTTATATAACTAAATAAGGCTGACTAGTTAGCTTCTAGTAACTGGAGGATAGCTCACGCTTCTTCAAGGAAGCTCCCCTCGTGAGGGCGCGGGGGGAGCTTTCTTGAAGAAGCGCTCGCACAAATGATTTGGTTTCTCAAGTTTAGGGAAACGCAACCTCAAGACCTTTTGTTGCCTCAAGAAATGGCCAACTGAGGCTGACATTCCGGGCATGTCGTAGGCGTAGCATGGCGTCTCACACAAAACTGACGAGCGAACCACTCATTGATGTATTGTCTGATGGGAGCTCGGTGCAGCAAAAATTGCTGCAGGTATTGCTTGTACTTGGGGAAAAAAAACTGACAGTTCAGAATTATTTTCTCGACCGACTGCAGAATTGCAATTGCCAAACATACACAAGTAGTTTGTAAGTTCTATACAGACATCGGGGTGAGGGACATTTGAGGAGGTAAGAGTGTGACACTGAATCCCCTTTAAGAACTCGCGCACTTCTGCAGCTCCCCTTACAGCCAGATTTCTTAGGGCCTAACCCCCCCGAAAAGGGAAAACATGTCGAAAGAAAACCAAGAAACAGAAACGTCTCAAGGAAAGTATCTTTCTTCTGGGTGTATTGTATGCAAACCTGATGTTCTCTCAAGACTCATTTTCAGGTGAGAGAAAGCCCCAATCGGACGTGAACAACTCATCCGTACAGCTTTCTTAATTGCTCAGTTTGGTCGTTATTAACCTTCCTTCGTACAAGGAGCAAAGGGCATCGCTACTAGTAGCAAGGGCATTACTACTAGTAGCTAGAAGCTACTAGTAACAAGTATTAACCTTCCTTCGTTTGATCCTTCTTCTGCCGGATTGAGCGCGGTGCTTTGATGTCTTTCACTCGGACTGTGAAAGTCGCATCATCCGAAGCAAGTACCTGGATAGATCCAGCTCTTTTCTTATAAAACACGCGTTTTCCTTCAAAAAGGCAGCCAAACTAGTTCTTTCAACCATTGTAACATTGTCCCTATTTTTCAAGTCATGTGCTAGGTTTTTCAAGCAAGCAATCATGAAAGTTTGACCGGTGACTGCATTGATTCGGGCAAAAAGACACATAGACTCTTGAGCACTTGAACATCATGCGGCCCAGCTTCTCTGGAGGGAAGAACTTTGTTGCCTCAAAATCTCAAGCCTGGCTTATAGTTCCGATTTTATTTATGATACTCCTGCCAGCGATTGCAATGGCGTGATCAAGATCATTGATTGATTACTGACCTGAATGGATGAGGCAAGCTTGTCAGTCACTTGTGAGTACCAGTGCATAGAGACTGGTGAGCATGAAAGGTGCCTGGTAGAGAGCATTTAGCTCAGCATTTGTGCAAATCTCAGTTCCACTCATTAATGCCCCTTCTCTTTTTTGCGGTCCATCTATTTTGAGGCCCATCCACGGCCGCGGCTTATGGCTTGTGAAGGCGATGAGCCTCGTGCTTAGCGGACTTTTGGATTTCTGATGTGATGTTGCTTGGCAAGGCCATCATCATACGTGCAGGCTTTTCAAAGGCCCACTTTGTTGAAAGAGCATGCTTGCATCCAATAAGTTTCCAGCATTTGCTCCTTTTGCCAGGCCACAAAGTTTTGGCGAACTTTGATTGCTGCAATCGTGCGGGTCTAACTTGGTATTATGACCACTTGTAGCTGCTATGTTATATGCACACAGTTGCGCATGAGGCCGCTGCTAGTGCCGCTGCTTTCTTGGCGGCTCGAAGAAGGAAAGGAGCCAGGCTCACGATTACGTTGGGACTTGCAACTGTTTTTTTCTTGAGTTGGCGGAGCATTTTGGCTGTCAAAAGCAGTTCATTCATGAATGAAGGTGCTCTGAAGATTCGATAGTTCCGAGCACATCCCGTCGAAATTTGAGCTGGCCTCATCTTGGAGATAATTCAATGAGTGCAGTTTGGCACGTCAAGCATTTGTTCAGGACCAAACGGAAGCATTTCACGGAGCTCTTACACACAGCTGGGCGCTTTGCCGCAGGAGCACATTTGTGTGGATTTGTGGGAGTCACATACCACTCATATACTTGTTGATGTATTCTGAATGATCGTGTTTATATAAAGCACCCTTGGCCTTTACGAGAGACACCTGGCGTGAAGGACCTGAGGTCATTGTGCTGTTTGTTGCGTCTGGTCTCAATGCTTGGCTCATGCTGTACAAGGTTGCTTGGCTCCTGCTGGGCTGGATCTCGTTTTTCCTGTGCTTTTTTGCTGCCAAATATTTGGTCCAAATTCAGATGTCCTGCAGGCTTGGTTGATGCGGGAGTTTGTCACTGGTCAGAATTTGGGCCGTTGGCGAGAGTCGGGGCCTCAAGAGCAACTTCGTAAAGTTTCCCTAAATACTTAGGAACCAGATCATTAGTCCGTGCACTTCTTCAAGGAAGCTGCCCCCCCCGCCCTCGAAGAAGCTTGAGCTATCCTGCGTCCTAGCTAGGAGTTGGCTCCCTTACTTAATTAAGTAGGCGCCTACGTAACAACGTAAGAAGAGCGGGCTTTTGAAAGAAACACAAACACACACACATTCAAGCTGCATTTTGTTTCTGCTTTCGATGAGCGAGGTGGATGAAAGCGCTCGGCAAATTTCCTTTAGCAATTCTGGCCAGTGCGATGCTCTCCCAGACCACCAAGTACATGCAGGCGAACGCGGCGAACTCCCAAACTTGAAGGATTGTGCAGTTTCCCCAGTTTCGTTCAGGCAAGAGTGTCAATGCTGTGGCGAAATGCTGCCACATCTAGCCTCTTGCAACCTGGACGATGACACATGACACCTTTCTTCTTGAGTATGTTTTCCTTTCCGTTTTGTCCAATTGAGTGGGCAGGCCCTTTTCATGGCATCACCCGGGTAGCTAGGTAGCTATATACTCGTAGCAAAGGCAGCTCGGGCCCGTCAAGGAAAGCCTTCTCCGGTGAACCCTCCATGGTAGAGCTACGAATGCTTTGCTTTGCTTCGCTTGATACGAAAAGTTGAAGGTTTGAGCTAAGGATTTAGTTTTGTGCATTTTGTTTCTCTTATTTTCGAGATCAAGTTCGGAGTGATAGACAGCTGACCAAAGTTGTGAGCTTCGGCGTCTGAGGCGAAGCTACTTCTCGAACATGTATTGAACTTAGAAGTACAGGTATCAAGTTGCAATACTGGGGCACATTGGCGGGTGCTCATTGGGAAACATTAATGCCTCGAGACCATTTCTCGTCAGGAACTACTACAAGTTGCAACATCATGGCACCGCTCGAATACAGGATCCAGATGTACGCATTTGTTCCGATGTGAGGCAGCTTTTGTCTTCTACCTGCACATGTACGTGTGACATTTCTAAAGCATGGGCCGGGCTGGTCTCTTTGATTCAACAATGATGTGCTTGGTCAGGTCTGGTTGTGATGCGCTCACAGGTGTTTTGATCAGTGGCATGTCGGGTGTCGCTTGTCAGAGAAAGCAACTTTTGTGAGAACTCAGAGAAAGGACTGCCTTGTATTGGGATGACCATCCCATGACAAATTTTCTGAGGTGATGATGGCATCGTTTTCAACCTGGGCATTGCTTGCAACTAAGAAGCGATGTTTAGGAATCCAGATTCCTGACCGATGACAGCGCAGGGTGAACATGTGGGTTCCAGGGTAGCCTGGATGAATGTGCAAAGTACAGGTATCAACGCCGTGGTCTATTTGCAGTGTTTTTGCTTCTTCCTCAGTGCCATGAGCATCATTTTAGCTTGTTGATGTCCTCGACGTTCTTGAGGCCATATATCTACAGCTTCGTTGTGGTTCCACTGAGTTACAGGCTATTCTTCGGTGCAACTGGTGATAGCACTTTCGCCGGCTTCTCGTCAGGCTTACGAGTCCAGACTGGAGTGTGGCAAGACTGGTCCAAAAGGTGCTTTGTTCGAACTTTGGGCACCAAGCGCTTGGTAAAGACAGAATGATTTCAAGATGGATTGCGCCGATTGTGAAATCCAGATTGCGCATTTTTGGGATCATGACCGCCAGGCCAATGCAGCATATCAGCAGGCCGTTGATGTTGGGACATGATTTTGAGATGCATAATTTGATGGTATTCAGGCCTTAACACGGGTGCAATTGTCTGGTGAAAGTGGGGTCCTCAAAGATTGCTTTAGAGTTTTCGGTTGAGGGCCCTTGCCGGGGCAAAGCAGAGTTGTGTTGTTCAACTTTTGGTGCTTTGCCGTAAGAATTTTCCGGCCTGGGGTGTCGGTTCAAGCCACCTCGGCTCCTGGTACTTCGCAGATGGGTTGATTTGTGCCTCAGACTTGGACCCTTGTTCAAGGAGAGGCTGATGCGCTTATTCCAACAATGTTTGTGGTATGTCTTCAATGTGCGTTGCATTGGTGTCTACAGAGATGAGAGTGATGCTTTTGAGAGTGGTGTCGGCGGTGTCCTTAAGTTGCCATCGTTGCTTGAGGACTCAGGCATGGTCGCAAGCCTCGACCACGGGGAAGCGATCCAGGCGCGGCGAGGCGATAGCGGTGCCTTTTGGAAAGAAGCTTCGTGCGCCTTTCGCCGGTAAGTGTTCAACGAGAAGGCTGATTTATTTGGTATTTGGTGGTCACCTTCCTTTTCTGTCCAGGCAGTGTTCAATCGCTGTGATGCTGACAAGAGTGGCAGCATTGATGTGAATGAATTGGGGAGACTGAGTTGGAATTTCGCGAGCTGGGTAGCGCTTTCTTTTGCTGTGGAATTTCACCACGTCCTCACCAAGCCTGAGTTCATGGTGAAGTGAGGAAATGTATGCGTTTGCTGGGCATGAACCCCACAGAAGCGGAGGCGAAGGGTCTGTGAGTTGTCAATTTCACAGGGGGTGCAAGCAACTGAGCCCTCAAGAGGTAGTGGCTGCAATGGAAAGTGTGGATGAGAACAAGAACGGAAAGCTCGAGTGCCTTGGTTGCAAATCGGTTTGTCTCGTGCGGGGGCAGTGGATGCGCCAGACGCACCACTTGCCGGTGTATGACCTCTGTCATTTCAATTTGAAAGTGGTGCCAGGTTTCTTGCACTGAACGTTCTTCTTTTGCTGCTTGAACAATTTCAAGTCAGGTTTGACGAGTTTCGTGGCTTGATGGAGCCCAGACTGTCGGAATGGCTGCAAAACGATCAAGTCAAAGTCCTCACAGATTGCTTCAAGGTGTTTGACACCGAAGGCATGTGTTTGATGATGTGTCGCCGCAGATCTTGCATGTCAACAATTTGCAGAAAGGTTCTTTTTTTGCAGAAGGCAGCAGGAAAGAAGGAATACCTGCATCCTGCTGAGCTTCGTGTAGAGGCACGGGCAAGATCAGCAAGGAGATGCTGAGCCATATCATGACATCACAGGCGACATCCGTTTAGTTATATTACAATATGCTGTGCTGGGAAAGTGCTGCGCACGTTGCTATGTAACGAAGAGCCAGTAAGGGTGATGTTGTTCCTGCCAGGGTGACAAGCTGACGGAGGCTGAGCTCGACAGAATGATGAAGGCCGAGCTCGGATGAGAATCGTGATTCTGCACCACAATTCAGAATCGCGTTGTTATTTGTGCTACGAAGCAAGCTAGACATTTTCAGGCAAACAACCTTCATACACACATGCAGAACCGAAAGAGTCGGGCTTGACTCTGAAAAGAGCATGCTTATGTCAATAGTACATTTATACCTTTGCTATCATGACTCCTCGAAAATAATCACACTTTGGCTTAGACTCTTCCGAAGGCAGCTGATTCAGATGGCGATGGAATGATTGATTACCAGGAGCAAAATGTAGGTGTTGCACGAGACAACTGGCGTCTATTTCATTGGCTTCACCTGTTTTCTTTTGTTTTCTTTAGTTCCTCTGCGGTTCAGGAGTTTGTGATCAATCACTTCTTTGGACCAAATAGCCGAGTGACCATGGCTGCATTGTGTACACCGCATTGCGCGAGTGAATGATTCCATTCGGCATGGTCCTTGGGACCGCTCCTTGCCGGTCGAGGTTTCTACTGGCACTTGGGGGTCCCTTTCTTGGTCAGGCTTTGGATTCCAATTTGGGTGTCTTCACTAGGGAAAACAGCTTTGTGACATTGCCAAAGGCTCAGTCTCTGGGCACATCTCCAATGCCTACACTGCAGCGTCAGAGTCCGTGAATGCGGCAGCAGCTCAACAGCAAGGCAAGTCAGAAATGTTTCAACGGCCCCTTTGGCTGCTCGAAGCTGAGGTTGCAAATGTTCCCAGCGTGGGAGAGATGGTGGACAGTGCGAAGAACGTTGCAGACAGCGCAGCAACAAAAGCTCAAGAGATGGTATCTTGGCTTTCGCACAGAAGCACAAGCAAGCTCAGTCTTCTTCGTAATTGCTTTCACAAAAGCCCTATTCTACTCGCGTAGGTGTTTAGACGGAGTTCAAGAAACTTTTTGTATTTTCCTGTTGCTGACAAAGGTTGCAAATGCTCCAAGCAAAGAGGCGGTGGTTGAAGGTATCAAGGATGCTGCTTCAAATGCTGCAACTGTGGCCGGAGAGGCAGTTGCAGTTACAAGAGATGCAATTGCCGAGCAAGCAGCACAAGCTGCTGCCGCGGTGGCACCTCCGGCTGCACAGGAACAGGATGTCGCACAAGAAGTATCAGCAGAAGCTCCTCCCGCTGCGGAGCCGGCAGAAGTTCCAGAGGTGGAAGAAGGCAAAAAGGAGGAACCACCAGCAGCAGGGCAGGCAGCAGACGACACATCTGCACCTGCTGATGAAAAGAAGGAGGAGACAGCAGCAGCCCCAGTGGAAGAGGAGAAGAAGGAAAACGAACCAGCAGCACAGGCTGCAGAGGAGGTGCCAGCACCTGCTGCAGAAGAGAAGGAGGAGGCAGCAGCCCCAACGGAAGAGGAGAAGAAGGAGGACGAGCCAGCAGCACAGGCTGGTGAGGAGGCGCCAGCACCTGCTGCAGAAGAGACGGAGGAGGCAGCAGCCCCAGTGGAAGAGGAGAAGAAGGAAGACGAACCAGCAGCACAGGCTGCAGAGGAGGTGCCAGCACCTGCTGCAGAAGAGAAGGAGAAGGCCGCAGCCCCAACGGAAGAGGAGAAGAAGGAAGACGAACCAGCAGCACAGGCTGGTGAGGAGGCGCCAGCACCTGCTGCAGAAGAGACGGAGGAGGCAGCAGCCCCAGTGGAAGAGGAGAAGAAGGAAGACGAACCAGCAGCACCGGCTGGAGAGGAGGTGCCAGCACCTGCTGCGCAAGAGAAGGAGGTGGCAGCAGCCCCAGTGAAAGAGGAGAAGACGGAAGACGAACCAGCAGCACCGGCTGCAGAGGAGGCGCCAACACCTGCTGCAGAGAAGGAGGAGGCAGCAGCCCCAGTGGAAGGTGAGGAAAAGACGGGGGAAGAATCAGCTCCAGCAGCGGAGCACACGGCAACACAAGAAGAAGAAAAGAAGGATGATGCACAGGTTTCGTCGTCGTTCATTTGAGGGACCATTGAGAAGAGCTTTAATGCTAGTTGGATTCTGTTTTCATAGCAGGAGGTGGCTGTGAATCACTCTACACAGCTGTGTAAAGTGGCAAAGCGAGTGGCCAGTGGCAGTTCTGCGCAGTGATAATGCCATGCTTAGCAACTTGTGGGCATTGTGGCTTTTGAACACGGCCTTAGTTCAACGGCTGAGGTCCAAACAAACTTGTAGGCCGAGTTTAGCTGCCACAAGACCTGCATGTCGGTTGCCGAGAGTTAGTGTGCTTGCCAAGCTTGCCAAGCAAGCGTTTTTTGGCATGAATGACTGGTTTAGCTGAACACGGTGCAGAACGCCCAGTTTGCTTGCTGGTCAAAGGGTCAAGTCTGGCAATCCAAAGGATGCCTCAAGCTTGCCTTGGTAATGTAATTCCAGACTTCAGGGCTGTGCTTAGACGACAGCTTCATGACTCTTTGAGTTTACCTTTTAGTTTACAAACGTGTAGACAAAGATATTCTTGTATTCTTTTTTCCCATGGTATCAGCTTGTCTCAAGCATATCACGAACCTGATGCATCTGAGAGTAGGACTGGAACCGATCAATGGCATCAGCGAGGGTTCCACAACATTAGATCCGCTTGGGTAGGAAAAGCCTGATTCTTTTGCTGGCCTTTTGATTTGTGGCAGAAAGCTTTTTCTTTGGCATGGCCGGGCCGCATGGCTGCTTCAAGCTACAGTAACTGAACCCGCTTGAGGTGTGGCCATGCTACGTGGTGAGGAGTTTGAGAAGGACTGCCAAACCAGGTAAGCTCTCTTGGGTTCTGGTTCGCAGAGAGATTAGCCAGTACTTCAAGTGTAAGTCATAGTAAATCATCGAATTGATGTTCCAGTAATTCCCCAAACAGTTTACTGTTAGGGGTTCTCAATGCTTTAAAGAATG